CTATTGATAAGAATTATCGATAGTTATCAAATATTTGATAGTAATCGCTACTTATCTATATTTAAAATTTCCTGATGAAGGTCTCTAGTTCTTCACTTATTAATTTATAATTTCTTTTAATTGATTTATTTATTTTTTTTAATAATTCGACTTCTTTTTCATAAGATATAATATCTGCTTTTAATATCTCTACATTTTTGGTATCACCAGTTCTAGTGGAGTATTTACAGGTAGATTGAGAAGAAAAGAGCACAATTTTGAGAGATGATTGTTCTTCTTCAGTTGGCTAAGTGACTTGAGGTAATAACTCATGTTCTGTTATTAATAAAGGGGCAAAACATTCAGGGCACTAGAGTTTAAAGGCCAAGTTCCTGTGGCTCTGAAGGCATTAATAATTGCCTTAGAAGTGTAGATTGTAGTGAATGCTAGCCCAATAATCTTAGTGAATGTATACTTGGTTACTACTTCTCTCTTAGTATTATGTAGCTCATCGCAACTTTTAGTATACTTTTTTTTAAGTTTTGCAAAAAGGAGTTTGGATGCTTGGAGAATATGTGTTGTGTATGGAGGAAGTGTATAAAGTAAAATCTCATTCTCATGACAAAATCTAACACTTGTATAATTTATATAGCTTTTATGGCCATCAAGTATTAATAGAACCGAACAAGTAGATGGAATTGACTTAATGAAGTGTTTAATATACATTTGGAAGAGGCTTTCCCACATGTACCCAGTATCAGTAAATTCCATTACGGCACCAGCTAAACCTCCCACTAATAGACAGGAATCGTACAAACACCCTTGTAAATAATTAATAGAGGAACATAGTCACCTGCTACTAAAATTGTTAGAGCAACAGAAATGTGCTTATGTACATTTCTATATAAGACTTTATGAACTTGATGAGCACCTTTTATTAAGTTAAGTGATATAAATTAGAATTTAGAACTTAAATTTTAGTATTAATTGATTACTAATTTAAATTTTTAATGCAAACCTTTTGTTGCAAGAACCTTTTGGACTTTAGAAAAAATAATAAAACTCATTTCGTCCATATTCCATATGCACTTTGCAGTAAGTGAATGTTCCTTAATTATTTTTTGTAGTTTTTCAAAATGATCTTTTATAATAATTGGATTTGCTCTTTGAGCACATGCTTCAGATAGGGCTTGGGGTACTCAAAAAGATAAGCCTGGATGATCTTTTATAAAATGGTTCCACAAGCTCTGCCAGGCCCTTTAGTCACAAAAAGATAGTCATGATGATTGTTATGCACTATCTCCATCACACAGTAGTTCACACCCGATCTTGTTAAACCAAACCCTAACTTCTGCATGTTTTTACAGTAACCTACTAACTGCTCTTCCTCGTATTCACTTAAAATTGTTTTAGAGCCAGTACATTTAGGCAATCCATTTTTAACAGCACGTCTAAGAGTTGCTTCTAAAATTCCAAACTTTAGAGCAGTTGAATTTATACTAGGATTCCTAGAACTTGCAAGTTTTTTAAAAGCAGCTCTGATTGTAGTACAATGATCTTTTTGAGAGAGTTTTGGTATTTTTTGATTCGTTTTTTTTTGAGTTAGCTTTTAATTTTTTTATTTGTTTAGGTTTAATAGCTTCTATTGGAGTTTTTTTTTTTTTTGTTTTTTTAAGAGTTAATTTTTAACAAAAAAAAGCCATTTGATAGATTATTTTATATCATTTCAAAATAGAATATTAAATAAAGACAAAAGTATTTACTATAACTTATATCAAATTTAGCTTTACAAGACACTTAACAATTACAGTCTTTGTTTTTAATTGTGATAAAATTCATTATTAAAATGATTTAATAAAAGAACCCATGAATGATTTTACTTACAATTGTAAAATAACTTTTTCGAATTAGATCATTGATTTTTTTTAATATTGAACTCATAAATTTAAACGTATATGCATATCAAAATGTCTGCTTTATGCAATATTATGCAAAAAGCGGCAAAATAAGTTATAAATTAAACTCAAAAAGAAAATTTATACTATTGTACTTTTTGGTTTAATTCTCTTTTAAATAGCACTCATCTTAATAATGACAAGAGTTATTCTAAATTTGACATATACGTTTACCTTTAAATCTAATATAGCAGAAGTTTTTTATTTAAAAAATTTCTGAGATTGTGATGCTCTAATCACAAATATAATCAGAATAATTGGTAAGCGATTATTTTAAAAAATTTTTATTATTGATTTATTGCTATGATGATCTTTTAAGTATTGATCTTTACAAATCGCGCATTTACATTTTATATCGTACATACAATAACAATTGACTTTATTAAGGTCAGTATTGCTATATAAAAACATGAATACCAGATTGTTTATTCTTACAACATCTACTCAAAGTCATTTTTTTAATTAAAATACCACCTAGACATTACAATTCAAAGAAAAGAATATTTAAATGACCCAATTTTCAACAATGATTCAAGATTATTAAATTTAGACAATCCAGATAAAACATAGAAGAAGAGAAGGTGGAGTCTAATAAATTTTATGAAAAAACAGAATTTGAAAAAGGTCTAGCATCACTTTTTAAACTAAATCAGATGCCAAAAGCACCCAATATTATAGAACCAGAGATAACAGAACCAGAGACAACTGAGATTACGAATTATTGAGAAAATCAAATAAACTTAAATTTAATATTATTATAAAGAATACCATGTTTTGTAAATATAATATTCTTGCTTCCTTTTCAGTAATTGACTAGATTCGTCAACTCACAACTCAAATAATTCAAGTTCAAATTATATTAAATTTAAAATGATTAATAATTATAATATAAATATAGAGCAAAACAAAAGCACTAATATCTATTGTACTATGGTTCCTATTTGACCGAACGATACACGGATTTGTCATGTGCGCGTTATTTTCGTCG